CTCAGCTGGAATTGTCTTTCTCTATTAACTTTTAACAAAGAACATTATGACACATAAAGTTTTTCCTGGTATTAGTGATTGTTCTTAGCAACATATGCCTTAGCCCAAGGGTGGGGAACTTGCTGTCTAGAGGCCACATGTGGCCCTCTAGGTCCTCAAGGGTGGCCCTTTGATGGAATCCATTTCCTTCAGTCAAAGGGCCACCCTTGAGGACCTAGAGGGCCACATGCGGCCTTGAGGCCAGAGGTTCCCCACTCCTGCCTTAGCCTCTTTGGTTTGGGGTTTGAAAACACGTATGGACATGAACACCTGAGGAACAAAAATGCTTCCAGTTGGGGATCTTGGTATCTATAGTTACCAAGAACAGAGATCTCTTTCCCAGGAAGGATAATTACACAAGTAATGACAGGAATGCAGTATGAAGGTGCCGCCTCTTTAATGAGCTGTGACTGTTGAAAAGATGTTCGGAAGAAAAGATAAGTATTTGTCCTCTGTTTGTGGAGTTAAGACAGTTACCATGATTAGACTTAGAGATTGTTCTTATAGCAGAGAAAGATAGTTGCCTAGCTATTGAAGAATTTCAAAACTGACCTTTTGACTTCAATGAAGTAGTTTAGATGAAATTTTAAAAGAAGCAGGGAAAGGCCCCCAGTTGGTTGGAGGGGATCCTCTAGGGAAAATTTACAGAAGATATGGACTGGACTAGCATAGAATGAGAATAGGGGGTGGGTGGGCTGTGACCTGTATAAGGGAATGGAGTGTTTATATAGAGCCACTCACTACGGAAATGCTTCAGGGAAGTACGGGGTAAATTATGCTCTTCTTTTTCCCAACTTGAAGACTTCTCATTTGCAGAGTTCATTAGGCACTAACTGGTGCTATCTGGTTTATGACCAATTGTTTTTAAAATGTGTCATCCTACGTATTTCTATATTGTATGAGTAGTTATAGGAACATATAGGAACACAGATTCGAAAAACTTTAAATGTGGGTTTGGTTCAACCACCAATTTTAAGGAATTGAAAAAATATATAAAGCATATAAATATCTCACAATATGTCTTTCAAAAATAGCCATACCAAAATGAATGAATGAATGAACGAATGAATGAATGAATGCAAATAACCATATCCAGGATGGCAAAGGTTGGACACGAGGACAGGAGTGCAGGTATCAAAATGCCATGTGAAAGAGGCATTGAATTTAGTTTGCTTGATCCCAGAGGGCAGAAGAAGGAGAAATGGTCGAAAGCTGAACATATTTAGGCTAAATGTAAGAAAAAACTTAGGAATAATTAGAGCCATCCTAAACTGGAAAGGTCCACCTCAGGGGGGGAGTCAACGTCCCTCTCCCCAACACCCACTGAAGGTCTACAGGTGAACACTGGACCACCCTTTATCTGGTACATTATAGACAAGATTCTTGGTGAGCTTGGACTAGAGTATTCCTGGAGTCTGTTCCAATTCTGACATTCTATGATACATATTTTTATTTATTAAAACAACAACAACAGCAACAACACACGTCCGCTTGACCGGCCTGCTAAAAAATTTTTCAAATGAAAAACAAATTTAGTAGTAACTAGGGGGCAGCTCTATATCCATTAAGCTTTCTGACTCAGGTCAGCTGCTGACTCCTCCAGGAAGCTTTGAATAATCATCCCTTCCATCTGTCTAAGGGAAGGGAAGCTCCCACACAAGCAAGGACCTTTTGGGGGGTCTTTTTTATCCTAGCACATAGTAGATACTCAATGAAAGTTTGTCGATTGATTATTAGTGGCCATTTCCTCCAGAAATTACTTTCTATTTTCCTATCTGAGTCAATGCTACATTCCTCTCCTCTCCCCTCAGCATCCCCTTCCCTCAGTATCCATCCTTCCTGCCCTCACCCACTTCCCTAGCCTGGGGAACATATGTTTCTTGAGCTAGGTGCTGGGGTGCAAAGACGCAGCCCAGACCCTGTTCTCCAGGCACTTACTCCTCCACTAATAGTTGGGCTCCATTTTGTTTTCCCTTCTATGGATCAAGGTCACTGTTTTCTATCAGTCACCTTCTATTTTCCTATAGAATAATCACTTGCTTTTTCATTCTGTGATTTATCCTTCCTATCACCCATGTCTATAGTCTGTACAGTTATCCCTTCGGCGGCCCCGTAATCTGGAAAATCCGCTTAAAATTTTCTTGGCCCTCCCTTTGTATCAGAGAAGAAGAAATTGTGTATATTTATGGGATTAAAAGATAAAATATGTTGGTTGATATTATACAATATTATATATATGCACATTTTATGCATTTCTGAGTTTCTAAACTTTTTATGTGTCGTCTTCTGGCCTTTGTGTGTGGTCTGTGGCTTCCATAAAATTCCCCCCAAATTCCCATTTAATTTCTTACGCTGACCTGACATATATTGAAACTGTGATAAGGAAAGTCAGATGTGGAAGGGATAACTGTATTTGTAAGTGACTTGAAACACCTCCCAGCCTTCCAATGAGAGCTGAAGTCACCCTCTGAAGGGCTGATATGTCACACAAAGGCTTTTCCCAGAATGCATTTTCAAATGCCAACAGTTGCTAATGCTTTGCTTGTTTATATAGCCTTCATCATTCATTTGTATTTAGTCTGGCTAGCAAATACCAGTTGTTAATTAGATGGTAATGGTATACAGTTGGATGCTCTGGGTAAGAGAGGAGTGGTCCACATGAGAGGCTCTTCATTCCCATTTCTCTTCATGCCACCATACCAGACTACATCCAGTAGAGTAGGCTCTTTTGGTTGATATGGCAGTGGTAACCATAGGGTTTACCATAGTGGTTGGGGTATCTAAAACTACTGTGTATTAGTTTAAATGGAAAACTTATTCTACTTTCCCCCCCCCCCCTGTAATCAACTACTCTTTATGAAAGTGATTTTAAAGCTAAGGTATACCTTTTTTTTTTTTTTAGGCAATTGGGGTTAAGTGACTCGCCCAGGGTCACATAGCTAGTTAAGTGTCAAGTGTTTGGTCTGAGGTGGTATTTGAACTCAGTTCCTCCTGACTTGAGAGCTGGCGCTATGTCCACTGCACTACCTAGCTGCCCCCTTTAATGGAAAACTGAGTGAGAAAAAGGAAGTTCATATGAGTTATTTCTACTATTTCCAGCAAATACCAAGGTGGTGTAACTAAATAGCCAGAAGGATACTTCCAATTTTAGTCTCTCTGGGTCAAAATTAGAAATTAGAAGTAAATTCTTTGTATGTTTGAGGATGCTAATAAGAAATTTTCCAATCTAAATTTGTGTGTTATGAATTTGACTTCTCATACTAATACTAACAGTTCAAAACATGGAATTTCCATTTCTTGTTTAGAGTTCAACTTTTGCTTTGAGGGAACTACCTATTCAGATCAGTCAGTCAAAAGTATTTATTAAGCACTTTCCATGTGCCAGGCACTGTGCTAGTGCTGGGGATACCAAGAAAGGCAGACGGTCCCTTCTCTCAAAGAGCTCACAGTCTAATGAAGGAGACAACATGCAAATAGCTATGTACAAACAGAAGCAGCTAGGTGGTGCAGTGAGTAGGGTGCCAGGTCTGGAGTCAGGAAGACTCAATTTGTGAGTTCAAATCTGGCCTCAGACACTTACTAGATGTGTGACCCTGGGCAGATTACTTAACCCTGTTTGCCTCAGTTTCCTCATTTGTAAAATGAGCTGGAGAAGGAAATAGCAAACTATTCTAGTATCTCTAAGAAAATTCCAAATGGGGTCATGAAGAGTTGGACACGACTGAAATTAGTCATTTCACGTACAAACAAACATTTAGGGAGCACTGGAAAAGGCTTGTTGCAGAAGGTGGGATTTTAACTTCAGCTTGAAAGAAGCCAGAGAAGCCGAGAGACCAAGATGAGGAGGGTCAGGACATGGAGTGCCAGCAGACATTTACTGAGCTCCAGGCACTGTACTAGACTATTCAGGTATAAGGGTTAAAATAAAGCAACATCTGTGCTCAAGGAAATTATATTCTGCTCCAAGGAAACAACATACGTACAAAGATACACAAAATATATGCCAATAAGCACAAGGTAATTGGGGGCAAGGAGTCCCAATCAGCTGAGGTATCTGAAAAGCCTTTGTGGAGAGAGAGAGGCACTTTAGATGATTTGAAAGAAAATTAGAAACTCTAGGTGGTAGAGGTGGGGAAGTTGGGTATTCCCTACATGGCAGACAGCCAGTGAAAAAACGGAGAGATTGGAAACTGTCGTGTGGAAGGAATGGCAAGGCTAGATTGGCTGGACTGCAGAGAATGCAGAGGAGATAATGTACAGCAAAGCTGGAAAGCTAGATTGGAGCCAGGCTTTACATTTCTTATTTGCAGAAGAGTTTTTTACTTAATCCTGAAAGTCACTGGAGTGTTTTTGGGTCAATGAGTGACATGGTTAGAGCAGAGCTTTAGGAAAAACACTTCAGCAGCTGTGTGGATGACAGGTTGGAGAAGGGACTGATTTGACTTTGGGAAACCAAAGAAGCAGTTCTGGTAATTGTCAGTCAATAGTAAATATTTATTAAGCACATATTATGTGTCCTCAGGCATTGTGCTAAGCACTGGGGATACAAAGAAAGGTCAAAGACAGTCCCTGCTCTCCACGAGCCCCCATTCTAACATGCAAACAACTACGTAGTAACAAGCTACACACAGAATACACTGGAGGTAATCAAATGATGGGAGATCAGGAAAGGCTTTCTGTAGAAGGTAGGAGTTTTAGTTGGCACTTGATGACTGTTGGAGGAACTGAAAGTGGGCCAGTGTGGCTGGATCACAGAGTATATTGAGGGGAGTGATGGGTGAGAAATCAGGAGAGGTAGGAAGGTACCAGGCTATCAAGAACTTTAAATGCCAGGGTTTATATTTGATCTTGAATGTAATACGGAGTCAATGAGGTGATTAATCACATGTACTGTTGACTCATGTGTGTTGCATTTTCTCTAGAATACTACTTAAATAACCTTTCCTACTCTTCTTTTTCAGAATTGTACCATGCCACACTACAAACTCATTTATTTTAACATGAGAGGGAGAGCAGAAATTATTCGATACCTTTTTGCCTACTTAGACATACCGTATGAGGACCATCGGATAAGTCAAGACGACTGGCCTGCAGTCAAACAAAGTAAGTGGAATAAGGAAGATACTGATGCTTCTTGACTAATGGTTTGACCAATGGGGATTAGAACCATGGTGTTTTCTTCCTATTTCTCAATGTGACAATACTGTAAGCATGTAAAAAAAGTGATTTCCTACTTTGGGGTAATGGCAAGAGCTGATTGATTATTCATTCAATTTATCAGCACCCACAGTCTCATTTTTGAGGCTATTTTTGACCACTGGATTAGATTAGCACACATATGTTTAAGAATGTGACAGGAAAGAGATGCCCATAAGTACAACAGAAAGCATCCCTCAAATCTTGAAGAATGCCCAAATGAATATCACAAAGGCCAGATAGTTTGCATATACTTCATTTGAAAAATATTTTTAAAGAAGTTTCTCCTTATTCTGACACTTTGTTTTTCAACCGAAGCTGATATTTAATCTTACCTAGACTTTGTCTTTTCATTTTAGGGCCATACATAATATTTCCCTAGCTATATGGATCTACTGCTAGCAATGGAGATTGGTACTCACGTGGCCACTTACAGTCTTTGAAAGCTGTCTAGAGCACTGACAGGTTAAGTGAGCCCAGGGCAAGCCAGTGTATATATCAGAAGCAGAACTTGGACCCAGTTCTTCTTGACTCTGAGGCCAGCTCTCTATCATGCCACACTCAGTGTTTCACTTGTCTTTTCATGGTTATAAAATCCTTATTTTACAGATGAAGAAACAAAAGCTATACAGGTGAAGTGAGCAACTCAAGTTTATAGGTTGAAATTCAGCAAAACTTCCTATTGAGTACTTGGGATTTAGAATTGTAATGGAATTTAGTGATCATTTAACTCAATCCCTTCCTTTTTTTTCCTTTTCTGCAAGGCAGTGAGGTTAAGTGACTTGCCCAGGGTCACACAGCTAATAATTATCAAGTGTGGGGTCTGAGACCGGATTTGAACTCCGGTCCTCCTGAATCCAGGGCCAGTACTCTATCCACTGTGCCACCTAACTGCCCCTACTCTTTCCTTTTTTTTAGATGAGGATATAAGGCTCAGAGAGGTTAGAGACAGAAGAGAGAAAGCAGAGAGGAGAGGCTCAGATCCAGGTTCCCTTTCCTCTCATATTATGCCTCTTTCTTTCAGGTGGCAAGTTTGTGAGCTAAGTGTTGGTGTCGGCATTGAGTCATTAGGATTTTTTTTCAGTTAATATAAATTAAAGAACTAAGAATTCATTTTAATTTCTCAGAATGCCATAATTCATATTCAAACTGCAAGACCATTATTTCATTTTAATAAATACAAGGAGGCTATTTCAGCAAAATCTCTACAAATATGGAAATTGCCAGTTGGGGAGTTGGAGCGGACCTCAACGGCCAACTAGTCCAAACTCTATCTGAAAGGAACCCCTATAATAACCCACCAAACAAGTGGCCATCCCGGCAACCTCTCTGGGCATCCCCCCTCCCATCACTCCCAGTTCTGCCCTTGGGGACCAAATAGAATAAGTCTAATGCCTATGAACACAACAGCCCTTCAAATACTGACACCCAGCCATCCTGTCCTCCTGAATTTCTTCTTCTTTTCTTCTTCTTCTCCTCCTCCATTTCTCCTCCTCCTCCTTTTCTTCTTTCTCCTTCTCCTTTTTTCTCCTTCTCCAACTCCTATTCCTCCTCCTCCTTTTTCTTCTTCTTTTCTTCTTCTTGTCTTTCTCCTCCTCCTCCTCCTTTTCTTCTTTTTCCCTTCTCCTCCTCTTCTTTCTCCCCCTCCTCCCCTTCTTCCTCCTCTTCCTTCTTCTTCTCCTCCTCCTCCTCCTCCTCCTCCTCCTCCTCCTCCTCCTCCTCCTCCTCCTCCTCCTCCTTATATGGCATGAACTCAACCACTCCAGTTGCCTTTTTTCTGGATAGTCTTGCTTCATAAACTCTGGAGCCCAGAAACGAACACACTACTCCAGATGAGACCCAACAGGTGCAAAGTACAGTGGGACTCTAGCTCCTCAGTACTGGAAGCAAACCCAAGATGGCATTAGCTTTTGGGGCTGCCACACTGCCCTGCCGACTCATATTGAGCTTGTAATCCACTAGACTGCTGACTAATGCCATTTCCTCTAACTTGTACTTGTAAAGCTGATTTTCTCTTTGTAGCTGAAAGTATAAGAGTTTACATTTATTGCTACTGAATTTCATCATATGAGATTCCACCCAGTGTTCTAGCCTGACAAGACCCTTTTGGATCTTACCTCTGTGATTCAGTGTCAGCTACTCCTCTCGGTTACGTGTTATTTATAAATTTGATGATCATACCATTGAACCTATATCCAAATGATTGATTAAAAAAAAAGTAAACAGTAAAGAACCAAGCACAGATCCCTGGGGTAACTAGCTGATGGTGCAGTGGATAGAGCCTGGGGCCTGAAGTCAGGAAGCCCCAAGTTCAAATCCAATTTCAGACACTTACTAGCTGTGTGACCCAAGGCAGGGAAAGGGCACTTTCCAGACAAAAAGCAGGGCTTGCCATCTTGTGCCCTTGGGCTGGGCTAGAAGTCTAGCAAAGAGGTTTGTTTCAGTTGGGAAGTCCCAGTAGGCTAGAAGGAGGAAGGAGGTGATTTGTCCTAGTCCAGAGGCCTTGTGAGGATTATAGGATCCTAGGCTTATAAATTTAGAGTTGATGAGACCTTGATTTGGTCAACTGGTCAAACCTGAAGTAGGCTTCTAACTCAGTTCTGCCTTGCTCCAAGAACACTCTGTCTACTACACCACGACTGCCCCAGGATGTGAGATGGAGTTTGTCCCAACCTATTTTCAGCACTTGAGAGTAGGGACTGTTGTATATCATCTGAAAGATTTATTTACTAGAACAATCTTATAAATAAATAAAAAGTCTTTACTTTCTATAAATAAATAAATAAAACGATAAAACAAAACAGCTTGCAGTCTAGGAATTTTTAAAGTATTGAAATACCTGAAATCGAAAACCTTTACCTGACATGGTGTTCCTAAGCAAATGGACATTTGCAGCCACAACAAATGGACAATTACACTTGGTTGCTCACTGATAAAACAATACTACCATTGCTACTGGAAAGGACACGAATACCTACTGCCCTTTGGTGACATTCATAACCCCTGTGACTGCCTTTCCTGGCTACCATTCTCAATATACAATAGACTATAAGCTCATCATTTTCGTCTTAGTAAACCCATACTACCTGTCAAAAAAAATAGGTACTTAATAAATGTTTATTCATTTAGTTGACACCAGGCTGGCTTATGAGGTAGTAAGAGCTACAACAATGGTACCAAGTCATTTTCCTGGCACATGTGGTGCCATCGTGAAAGTGATGCTTTGGGATCAGGTCTCAAAACCTCTCAGCTTTCCCTCATACCCTTTGCTAAAGAGTTCATCACTACTGACTTACATTGAAAAAAATCTCCATGACTCATCTGAAAAAATATATTGCATTGTACTTTGACTTTGTGTATTAAAACTATTGATTTCTTTTGTTTTATTTATTTATTTGTTTGTTTTATTTAAAGCTGTTCCATTTGGCAAAATCCCAATTTTAGAAGTTGACGGAGTTCCCCTTCACCAGAGTCTTGCCATAGGAAGGTTTTTGGCTAGAAAAGCAGGTAATGCATTTAAGACTTTGGCTATTATAGGTATTTTGTGTTGACTGATTCTGGGCAATAAAAAGGTCCTGTATTGAATAAGAATACCAAAGCCTATTTATTGGAAGAATATTTACTGAGTTCCTACAAGTATAATACTGTGCTCGGGACAGTGGAGATTACAAAGGTAAAATAAAGTCCATGCTTTTAAATATCTTACAGTTTCTTGATCCAAATATTAATTCCATTCTATCTGATACTTGTTCATAAAAATTCCACGAGGCAGGGTGCAGCGGCACAGCATCGGCCCTGGAGTCTGGAGGATGTGAGATTAAATTATAGACACTTATTAGCTGTGTGACTCTGGGCAAGTCACTTAACCTGATTGCCTCCCCCCAGCAAAAAAAAAAAAATCTCCAAGAGCCGAAAGTGTCTTTTATGTGCTGGTAGCCATACTTTGTGCATTGTGTATAGTCATTTAAGTCCCATGCTTTTTATTGCTTAATCCTTGTTTGGATTCTATCTCCTTTGAATATCTAGGAGCTTTTCTCTATCATATATAGATTAGTGGATATGTATAGACAGTTTTTCCCCTTTCCTTTTACCTTTTAGTTCGAAGCCTCTTTTCAAAAAAAAATAGATTTGCAATATTGTAAGCAAATAGATTCTTACTAGCCCTTGTTAGGAGCCTGTCATTCCTATATTTGAAGCATTAGTGTAGAAATCAAAAGCCCATTTTCATACACCAGCTTCTTAGCTTACTTCAAAAAAATCTGCCTTTATCTTCTAAATTTCTTGTGTTTAATGGGCAATATTAAGGAAAATACTGTCAGTTCCCCTAAAGTCTTTAGTTTCTTGTTCATGATTTTATGTCAGTAATACTTTCTTGGTCCTTTCCGGCAGTATCATTTAAGCCCGTGTGAGTCACCAGAACAGGGAAGCAGTAATGATCATTCTATCCCCAGCCTCTAGCAGAAAGGGGACAGGAAAAGGAAGTATTTGAAACAAGTAAGAGAAGAATCTGTGAATGTGACTCAGAGGGTTTAAGGATTTGTAAAGAAGACCAGAGATTGAATTTAGAGGGGGGAATATTTAGAAAGATTAGAGGAATTGGAGAAAGAGGGGGAGAATGATTCAATGACTGAGGGAGAATGACTGAAGGAAATAGAATGATCTAAGGATAAGGAAAAGCATAAGAATTGGAATACCAAAGAAGGAGGAGGAGAATCAAGGATAAGTAGTTGAGATGACAAAGTTTAAATTTTTTTTTCTAAGACTGAGTAAGAAGTTAGCAGGAGATGGGAATGCAAATTGGAAGTAGTAGTGGTCAAAGCAGAGGTGGGGAACCTGCAGCCTCGAGGCCAGACGTGGCCCTGTAGGTCTTCAAGTGTGGCCCTCTAGGTCCTCAAGTGTGTCAGTCAAAGGGACACACTTGAGGACCTAGAGGTCCACATCTGCCTTTTGGATGCCGGTTCCCCACCCCTGGGTCAAAGCGTTAAGTGAAGCTAAAGAGCCTGGCAATGTATTGATTAGTGTAAAAAAAGAAGTGAGAAGGGGAATGACTCCTAAGCAATGTGCCAAAGCAGTTCTACAGGGGAAAAAAAAGCAAGAAAAAGATTAAAGTCTTACCTCCAGAAAACAGTTGCTGGGACCAACAACTAAGCATGTAGTGTTTGTTTGTTTTCATTTTTTTTGCAAGGTAATTGGGGTTAAGTGACTTGCCCAGGGTCACACAGCTAGTAAGTGCTAAGTGTCTGGTCTGAGAGCAGATTTGAACTCTGCTCCTCCTGACTCCACCGCACCACCTAGCTGCCCCAACATGTAATGTTTGTATTTCATTCATGGCCAAACAGTTGCTATTTATGCTCTAAGTCAAGGGTAATTAATTGTTTTGTTTTGAGTAAGGTGCCCCTTTGGAAGGCTGATGAAACCAGTGGAGCCCTTCTCAGAATGATGTATTTGAGTGCAGAGAGTAAAATAGATAGGATTGCAAACCAAAAGTTAGTAAAAAGATGTGCATTTTTTCCCCATCCAAGTTCACAGACTCCCTGAAATCTATTCATGGACACCCAGGTAAAGAATTCCAGTCCCAAAGAAATAGGCACCATCTGCAGAGATAGTCTAACTACTGATTTGTGTTAAATTAGCTTTAATGTAACAAGTGTTTAGGACTAGCAATGATAGTTTGCTTTTTTTTTTACCCCAAGGAAGAGTACAGAATTTTTTTTTTTATTTTAGAGGCAAGTGACTTGCCCAGGGTCACACAGCTAGCTAATAAGTGTCTAAGGTTGGATTTGAACTCAAGTCCTCCTGACTCCAGGGCTGGTGCGCTATACATTGTGCAACCTAGCTACCCCAAAAAATTTTCTTTTAAAGTTTACTCCTTGTCCCCTCCCCCTCCCCCACACATGCAAATTATATTAAACCCCTGGAATCTAGACAGAGGCACCATTGAAAAACTTTGTAAATATTCAAAAGCATCCCTTTCCCCAAAAGAATAAATTATAGCAATTGCTTTTCTGGAGCTCCAGCAAGCTTTCTCTATTTTATAGGTCTGGCGGGGAAGACAGAGTTGGAACGATGTCAAGTTGACGCCATCATAGATACGCTGGATGACTTCATGTCAAGGTTTCCTTGGGCGGAGAAAAAACAAGATATCAAAGTAATGTCATCAATTACACATAAAAATAATTGCTATGTATAGGGAGCATGTTATAGTAGATAGCTAGCCTCTGATTCAGGAAGACCTGGGTTCAGATCTCACCTCTGACGCGTATTGACTGAATAGCCCTGGGCAAGTCATTGGGAATTCTCTACCTAGGTCTGGGTACACACCTACCTAAGATACATCATACATGCATACTGGTAAGTATGCATGTATATATGCATGTATATAAGTATGTTTTATGACACATACAAATGAAAAATTTAAGTTGTTATGTTCATGTGATAGTCTAAGTCACAGGTGAAAGTGTGAAAGATGAACAACTTAAGTTATAAAATATTTTGAGCAGGAAGGGACCTTGGGAATCATCTAGATTACCTAACTACCTCATTTTATAGATGAAGAAAATGGGTCCCAGAAAGAGGTGAAGTGACTTGCTGGTCACAACGGTAATCTATAGTTCACTATGTTCTCGTCATTCCATCACACTGCTTCCCCTCTCATCCACCACTCACCCCACTCACGCACCAGCCGCTACCCGCAAACCCTACTTGTTCAACACAGACACTGTGCTGTTCCCATCGTCTGTGCATAACAAATGACGCAATGACATTTATCCAAAGACCATCAATTCCTAATTACTGTGTTTATTCCCCATATTTTGGATTCTTCACAAGCATTGAGAGTCACTTACTTGCCCTGCTGGTTTGGAGGTATGGCCCTGGCCTATTACATCCAGGATATTTCCCATTGTGCAAGACAGGGCATCATCTTCTCTCAATTTGGGGGTTGGGGTAGGGTAGGTCTGCTGCATCAGTGGGGATCCAGGCTTCCCATTTCTTTTCAACCAGTTTTCATTCTGCCCAGGTGGACAGTTCCCACAAAATGTGTCGGGGTGAATGTGCAAGGCAAACAATTTTTTATCCAGACAAAAACAGGCCAGGGTTGGCCTTAGGTAGCGTCTTTGGTGTCTCCTCCTCCCGGTCTCTCCTTCCCTGGGACCCTTTAGGGGCAATACCCTTGTATTTGCTGACAGATCCCCCCACCAGAATGAGAAAGGTTCTGCTACCTGGTGCTCTTTGTCCAAAGGAAGTTCAAAGTGATGTATAAATTCTCTTAGGAGGACATTTGTGTTTTAAGCATCTTATTTATAATGTAGAATGACAGTTTTTGTCTCCTGTTTAAAAGATTTTAGGCAATGCAAAGGAGAATATTCGTGGGTGGAGAGACTTAAGAGGAATTTCTTCATTAAGAGTAAAGCTACTCTTAGCCATCTGCATGGGGTTAGGTCTGAAGCAACATTAGGGTGCATTGGTCAGCACCTTTCCTTCTTTTTTCCCTCCCTTCAATTGACCTCTTTCCCTATGCAACAGGCATTGTGAGAATTCATTACTTGTGAGACTTCAAAAAAAAGTTCAGAAAATCCTTTAAAAACATTTTAAACAAGTGATTTCCCTTTCAGACTGCCTTGCAGATCTCTTGGATTGCTCACTTGTTCGTGTAATACTTCCTACATATACTTGTGCAAGCCACACTTTCTGAAGTGGTTTTCACAGAACACACATAGACTCAACAATGTACTTTGGGTTTGACAATGTTGCTGTCCAATCCTATTATACACACATACTCAGAAACACGTATGTGTGTATACATGTGTATGTATACACACATGTCTGTATATACATACCTGTATGTGTATAAATACCAGGTGTCCAAGCTGGGGATCCGTTTATTTTTAGCAATAGTCATGAAACAATATTCTAGTAGCTTTGTGTAGTCTCTTCAAGTTTCTAATAATGAGACTTAGTAGTTCAAGATGGCAAGTTGGAAATGCAAGACTGGAAGGCAGCAAAGACGTTAAGATTGAACAAACATGTCTGAAAAGCATTTGCACAGATCTGATAACTCAATCCATGGCAGCTGATGAGATCATCAAATCAAATAGTGTTGTTGGTAAGTCATTTTTCAGTGGTATCCAACTCTTCCTGACCCCATCTGGGGTTTTCTTGGGAGAGATGCTGGAGTGGTTTGTCATTTCCTTCTCCAGCTTATTTTATAGAGGAACTCAGGCAAATAGGGTTAAGTGACTTACCCAGGGTCACACCGCCCGTAAGTGTCTGAGACCAGATTTGAATTCCTGAAGATTAGTCTTCCTGATTCCAAGCCCTGTGCTCCATTGACAATGCCACCTAGCTACCCTTAGTAAACAGCATAAAAGGAGAAAAGAAAAGGGCCTAACAGAGCTGTATGGGACACATTTGGCGAAGGAACATAACCTGGATGAAGACTCAGCAAAGGATATTGAAAAAGAGCAATCAGATGATAGGAGGAGAACCATAAGAGGTCAATGTCATTAAAACCAGAAGAAAAGAAGATGTTTGACAGTGTCAAAGTCTGTAAGAAAGATAAGGACAGACTTTAGAGAGAATAGTTGCAGGTGGGTGATGCATTCAGAAGCCATATTTCAAAGGATTGAATGAGTAAGAGGAGAGGAAGTGGAGGTGCCGCCTTGTGTAGACAACTTTTTCTAGTTTAGCTGAGAAAGGATGGAGAAATGTAGAACGATAGCTTGAAGAAGTAGTAGGATCTAGTGAAAGTTTGTAGGGAAGAAATACAAATCAATATATAGGGAGAAATTGAAGAGGAGAATGAGAGGGAAAGGAAGAGAGAGAGAAAGAGACAGAGCCAGAGCCTGAGAGACCTCAGAAGGGAATGGAATAATATATTCCAAAGAACAATTGAACTCAAGATATAACCCAAGGTGAGACATCTGCAAAAAGATGGACATTGATATGAGAGAGGCATTTGAAATATTCCTATGGGGTGTGGGGGTTGGGGTGGGAACCATTCAGATGCAGGTAGATTATTTGTTCAGCATCCTAGATAACAGAAACACGAAAAGGTAAATAAACACAACTATCCATAAAAGCACAAGTAAGGAAATGAAATGCACACACAAAGCAATATTAACATATGAAAGAGATGAATTGCAGCTGAGGGTTAAATGATCCTATACTCCAATATTAGGTTGTAATGTTCTTACTGTAATACCTACCTTAGAAGCACGAGCTGCCAACAAATAATACAAATCAGGCTTATTGAATTAATCACAATAAAAATGGAGATAGGGAAAGGTTGGAAAATATTGCTGATAGGCCTTCCTACCAATTTACCAATTATCAATCAACAAGCAATGAGTAAGTAAATACCTACTTGGCACCAGACACTGTGCTTATAAAGACAGAGCAGAAATAGTCCCTGCCCTCACATACTTTTCTATTGATGATTAGAATGATCTGCATATTGTATGGTCTTTACTCCTCTTCCAGCTCTAACATTCTAGGAATAAAATTAATAGAAATGCTCAGAACTCATTAGTTCTGATTATTGCTGAGAATTTGGGGAAGAAAAGGGAAGGGCTTCACTTTTTAGGCCATCAATTTACATTTATTTTTCTCAAGCTATATCCTTATCCCCCAGTTTCTGGGACCAAGGCTCATTTTAGCCTAGTCTATTGATGATTATATTACTCATGTCTATTTCAAGTATTAATAGTGTGTAACTCTCGCTTATATGCAAAAAAAAAAAGGAAAGAAAGAAAGAAAGAAAGAAAGAAAGAAAGAAAGGAAGAAGGAAGAAGAAGGAAGGAAGGAAGGAAGGAAGGAAGGAAGGAAGAAAGAAAGAAAGAAAGAAAGAAAGAAAGAAAGAAAGAAAGAAAGAAAGAAAGGAAGGAAGGAAGGAAGGAAGGAAGAAAGAAAAGAAAAATCTTTCTTTTAATCTCTCATTTTTTTTTCCTATGATGGGTTACAATGCTGCCACCTTATGGTTCAAACAAACTTTCCCATTGAATTTCATTACTGTGAAAGAAGATACTAGTTAATGAACTCACACTTCAGCACCTTCATGTTTTTAAAAGGGTTGATATAAAAGGTGCTATATTCGAATAGATTATGAAAATATCTCTCTTAGAATAGTTTCCTGAAACTACCAAAGATATATGGATTTCAGATATTTGATTCTGATATCTTTTCCAATAAGATTTCACAAGCCGAGAAGTAGCTGCAAAATTTCAGTCCTAATTTTTAAAGAAAAAAAAGCAAAAACCAAAATACCTTCTTAAGGACAAATGGCCCTTATAACCATTTGGCAGATTATTAAACTTCCTTCGCAATTTTACCTCCCTTCTCTGGGACTCAGTGACCTCTCTAAGCTGAGAGGATTATACATATTACATGGCTGACTGTGTACCTTCCAACTCTAACATTCACTCATCCATCCATTCATTCAATCAATCAATCAACATGCATTTATCAGGCAGCTGCTATATGCCAAGCTCTGAGGATATGAAGAAAAAAATGAATTATTTCCCTTTTTTCAAAGAACATACACATTCTATCTAAGGGAATACCATAATACACAGAAGAATATAACATATATATATATGTACGTAATACATAAAAGAATATTATAATGCATATACACAGAGATACATGTGTATATGTACACATACAGTTTACATATGTACAACCGTGTGTGTATATATATATATGTGCGTATGCATGTGTGTTATATGTGTACTGTGAAAAATGATTTCTCTTAGTAATCTGTGTCTTGCAGACTCAGAGATCCCAGCCCCCCTTCTGCTCCAAAGTTCTTCAGAAGGACATTTCTGATAATGAGATTGCATTGAATCTTCTTATCCTGGTCAAACTGCAACCCAGGCTTGAATTGATTTTATCCTATTCAGGCTTGGGTGGAGGAAGATTTCTTCTGCCTAGATAGCCCAAAGACTGGGGGTGGGATTTCATCTGTCCAGATGGCGGGTGACACCAGCCCCTGTTGACCTAGATTAAATGACCTAAGTCACATACTCAAGACCTCATTTTAATATGACCCACCTCCCAACGTCAGGGTTGATTGGCATCCCTTGGGAACACCTACTCTTTGAATCTCAATCGAGCCAGTTCTGAACTGGCCCCCTTAGGTTTGGACTGAACTCCCATGCAATACATATCAAGCCAGCTTGAGAGAAATTGAACCATGGACACACGCACCCTAATTTTGTTTGTCTCTTTCTTAGAACAGATTCTGTAATTTATTGAGGTTTGACAGTATGCACATGTATATGTATCTGTGTATATGGGATATATATTATATGTGTATACACATATATGCATATGTATGTATGTATATACATGTATGTATATACATGTATATGTGTATGTATCTGCTGAGAGGAATCAAAAAAGGCCTCATGGAAAGGTAGCGGTGCTTGAGCTGAACTTTCAGGAAGCCTAGGGATCCTAAGCAGCAGAGATAAGCCAAGAGGATCCCCTGGGCATAGAAGACAACCTGTGCAAAAGTGATAGAATGGACATGTACATGTGCACTGTTTACAAGTTTTGGTTCACAACAGTTCATGGTTCAGAAACACTGAAGACAATGGTGAGAAGTCTTGAAGAGGATTAGGAACTAGGGGTCTGGAGTGTTTGAAGGAGGCTAGGGTTGAGGTAGAGAAAAAAGACCATGTGTCCGATATAAATTTACAGAGCAGGTCACGTACTGAGCATCTACTGGCACGTAGATGACAGCAACAAGAATTTGTTAGAGGAAGAGAGAAAGTTCCAGGTGATTGCTGGGGGGTGGTGTCAGAGGGTCTGATAGACTCATGGGGAGGAAGACAGCAGGTGTCAACTCCTCCTTCGGATGGTGTCAGGGAACGTAAAAGAAGCAGCAACTGGTCTTGGTGTTTTCTAGAGAAAGCCAAGTTTCAGTGAGCACCCAAAATGGGAAGAATAAGACCACAGACTTTGAGCAGGAAGAGAGCTTAGGGTTTATCTAGTTCCATCTTGTCATTTTTCTGATGAGGGGACGGAAGCTCGGGGAGGTAAACTAATGCGCTTGTAGATCACACACCCAACAACTGGTAGAGTCAAGACTTGAACTTAGGTGCTTCAACTCTAAACCTAGTGGACTTCGTAACAGAAGAGGGATCCAGAGGTACAATGGAAACAAAGGGCAGAGTACCTTTGGTACCTCTGTAGCAGTCACTAAAGAGGGCTAATACTGAGTTTATTATAGAGGTTGAGGGAGGGAACTCCGGGAGTGGCAGTAGCCACACTGCTTTCTTTACTACTGGACCTCCTGGGCTTCCAAAATGGAGTGGGCTCTCTACTGAGTTGTGTTTCCAAGTCACTACATTCTCCCTTGGAGGGAAGGAGGCCCAGGAGAGGGACTTTGTGGCCATGAAACCTTGAGGCTCAGCAGCCCAAGCCCAGAAGGAAGAAATACGGTGGCTCTTGTGGCTGGTGTTATTTGGAGGTGGGGTAAAAAGATTATGTAGCATAAGTTAGCACAGAAAAACCTTTGGGTTTTGATGAGCCGCACATTCAATATGAGTTAACAGACTGATATGGTAACCTCCCCCAATTTCTGGGACTTATTAAGACCTTCGAGTGTAGCCACAGAAATATTGTGTCTCAAAGGAGGAAGGTGCCAGTTCATTATACTCCACCCTTCAGTTTGGGGCTCTACACTGGAATATGCCCAAAAGTTAAATCCGATGGTGAGGGGGACTGAAAACCATGCCACATCAGAACCGTTTGCAGAAGTTGGCAATGTTTGCTCTGAAGAAGATGAAGAAGGTTTAGAGGATGAAAAATGTCTACAAGTAGGGTTGTAATGTGGAAGGCTTCTGATTGGTCCCAGAGAGGAGAGCCAGGGTGGAAATAGGCAGAAGCTGCAACTAGCTAGATTTAGCCTAGATTTATTAGTGCTATCAAAAGTATAATGAACTGCACTTTGGGAGATAAGGGGTACGCAGAAATCTCTAAAATCTAAATGACCAATTGTAGGAGTTGAGGTAGATAAAATTTTTGTTCAGTTATAGACTGGCCTAAACCCTAATAATCGTTTTTTTTTTCCTTCTCCTAGGATCAGATGTTTAATGAGCTGCTCACAAATGATGCTCCTGGTTTTCTACAAGATTTAGACCTTTATTTAGGGAAGAAGGACTGGCTTGTTGGCAACTCTGTAAGTAGTGTGGTTTAAAATATCAATGTAGTAACGTTTTTAAGGTAAATTTTATTATTGTTGTAGATGATAATAAGAGTAGTAGTAGTAATAATGACAATAATAAGAAACCTGACCTTGGCTAGCTTGCACCGTAGAGCAAGCAAAGGTTGGGTTTAAATCCCACCTCTGACATTTACTAGGTGGCGGATCCTGGGAAAGCCATTTCACCTCTATGTCTTGGAAAACTCCCCAGGATTTACCTATTAAAAAGTTGGGAGCTCCTACCCAGAAGTTCCCTATGCTAAAAAATCCTAGATCTTTCAGATGTATAAGATTAGCAATTCACATGCTTTTTTAAGCTTCTGCAATTCCTAAAAGGTATATTGGCTATTATGCCTATTTTAAAGATGTGGAAACTGAGGCAAAATACTTGCCCAAGGTGACACATAGTAAATAACCAAGTCATGATTTGAACCTTAGTCTTCTGATTTTAGAAAAAGGGGTCCCTCTACTGTACTTCTCTGTAACTCTTTGTCTGTTATTGGCCTAATGGGCCAATAGTAACAATAATTAAATAATACTATAAGATTTACAAAGCACTTTATTATTACATATTACCTTATTTCATCTTCACCACAACCCTGTGATCTTAACGATCTTAATATCCTGATTTGATAGATGAGATTGGGAATGAAGGACGTTAACTTGTTCCATCACATGGGTAGTGTCACAATATTCCTACCTTCCAGTACTGACCATGGAGGCCTCATATTAGATAAGAAAAAATATAGAAGTGGGCCATGAGAATGCTCTTGTGTAGCAAGGCTTTTAAAAGTAATTGGCTTAGTATTGTTTGCTATTAATAATAATGAGCTTGATTATCCATTTAATTATCTAATATTTTATTATTTTCACTAAAATTGTCCTGAAACTACTTTCAAGAAGTCTTCAGAAAATGAGCTTAAAGTCCAATATATGTTCATCTGTGACACAGAAGAACATATAAGAACAGCAGATGACTCATTTGTCCTTGGATTGTCCCCCTTTAAAGTCCTCCAAAAAAAGATGAGAAGGGTTGGGGATAAAAACCAAAGGACCACATACACACTCAAAACATTGAGAGCAATACTTTTTGTGGCAGCAAAGAACTGGAATCAAAGTAGATATCCATTAATTGGACAATGGTTAAACAAATTGTGATCCACAATTATAATGGAACATTACCATACTGAAAGAAGCAATGACTACAATGAATACTGTAAGTCATGGAAAGATTTATATGAATTGATGCAAAGTTTAGTAAAACAGAACCAGGAAAACTATATACACGAGGACTACAATGATGAAAATAGAGAGGACATCAACAATCCCACTGAAACTTAATGTTACAATATTATAATATTCAAACTTGGCCCCCCCAAAAAGATCTAAGACACCTTCAACTCCCTTGAAGTTGGAAGATTATGAATTGGCCATGGTCCATTTTGTAGGACTTAAAATGTACACTGATATTGCATGCATGTCAATGGCTCTAACCCTGTCCTTCCAATAGTGCTTTCATTTCTGGAGGCCAGAAAACCTCTTGGTATACACGGCCTCAGCTTTCTTGGTATTTTTGCATTCTGTATCTTGCCTACAGAATAACAAGATATCATCTTCAACCAATAGTCCAATTAACTTCTGGATTCCTGCTGGAATAGTCTCTACCTTTCCTTGATATAGTGAATTTTATTCTTATCAAGGCCAAATGACATTTTCATATAATTGGTAGTTTGATATAGAGGCAGGGAGGTGGCATAGTGCATAGAAGACTGGAATGGGGGTCAAGGCGGCCTGAATTCAAACTCTACTTCAGTTACTAGCTACATTACTTAACCCTGAGCAAGTCGCTTATCAGCTTGCTTCTTTATCTGTAAAATGTGGTACCACACAAGGTTTTGCTGGGATCAAATAACATTTCACCAAATGCTCTGAAAATCTTAAAAGTGCTTTGTAAATATAATATTATTACTATTGGAGAGATTCCACAAGGTGAAGCTTTTTGTTTTTTGATGTCATCCACATCAAGTGAGAAGATATTTTGTGATAATTCTATTTCTAATTTGGAAGCCATACTCAGTTCTATTTAAGAGATAATGGAGTTTTAGGTTCAGAAAAACAATACTGGACTTAAACTGTCTCTGTGACAATGTCATATTTTATATAAATTGTTCTTTTAAAAGTATTTTGTTATTGTCATGTTTTGAAGAGACAACAATTTTCTATGCAGACATCAAATACTTGAGTCATCTTCGTATTTGGGTCTGGTTTATGTTTGCAGTCCACATAAGCCATGAATGTGGAACAGAGTCAAAGTCTTTACCACAATCAACAAAGAAAGGATAAATGTTATGAAACTCTCAGAAGGCTTTTCCAGTAATTATTGAGTTGACCTGGGAATTTTTTGGCATAATGTTTTTCTCAGTCAATATATTCCTTTCAAGTGTTTATAATCTTTAAAACAAACAAAAAACAACTAAGTCGAGAATGTTTTGTATAAAGTCCATAAACACATAAATGGCCTATATTTTGAGAAGTCAAGTCAACAAGCATTTATTAGATGCCTAGTAATTGCCAGGCACTGTGCTAAGCAACGGGAATACAAAGAAAGCCAAAAAAACCCAGTCCCTGCTCTCAAAGAGCTCACAGTCTAATGGGGAGAACGCAAGGAAAGAGACAAAATACAAAAAAAATATATATATATATATATATATATATACAAACAAGATATATACAGGTCTCTGGTGTTATCATCTTTTGGAAGTAGATATGTAATGCTGCTGTTCAAAAAGGTAGGATTAGGCTTACACCTGAAGGGAAGCTAGTCAAGTGCTTTGCTAGCAATTCCTATGCCAATGTAAAATGGCTAAGACCTAAGAGTGAAATCAGAAGGCCTTCCATGATCACCGTCCTCATAAACCCAACCCAAAACATGTCAGTAAAAGAAGCATCAAACCAATGGCCAAGGCATGCAGGTTTGTTCATAAAAACATAGGCATTTATGCTAGCAATTCCAGACCAGTTCACTGCCACTAAAAATGACAGACGGACTTGTTTGTCACTTTACATGAAGCCAGGAAATAGTAGAAACTGCAACCCCATCACTTCAGGATGCAAAAATTTAGTTCCTACTGAATACATAGGAAGACATGACCTGGCAGCTAGAATTATACATCAGCTCATTAATTTTCATTAACTAATGGAAGACAAACCCTCATATTACAAATATAGGCCTTAAAATATCTGAAAATTCAAAAAATAAAACTACTAGACCCAGACCACTTTAACAGACAGAACTTTTGTCCACAATTGCTTGAACATAACATTGATCCATAAAAATTTAATAACATTTTTAATAGATGTCACCATACAAAATGCCCATAACCTCCAAGTTACATGGAATGAAAAACTTTTATAAAGACTCAGTGGAAGAAACCATGACCATGTAGGAAAAGGATGGGGAACATAACCCCATTTTCCTATCCTCTACTGGAGTTTCTTTTTTTTTTGTTCTTTTTTATTCTGAACTTAACATAACAAGGCAACTTTCCATATATACAGAAAAATACAAAGAGAGGGCTTTATATGAAAATGGAATTTCTAATGTACATCTTACTTTTTTTTTGGAAACATATTAAGTTCAATATATTACTTTGGAATTTTTCCAAAGATGTTTTCAGCGAGCCTACCTAAGATGAGCTTATATCCCAATACTTTTATTCAGTTACAATAAAGATATTTTACCTACCCATGCAAGTCTGTAGAACATTAAATATTAAAAGAATAATAGCAGGGCACGGACTTGGCCCAGGACTAAATCTTCATTAAAAAATGCAGAAAGGAGACGAATAGTCTTAATGGTTGTCAGAGGCGCAAAATGGCACAGTGGATAAAGGGCTGCCTATGACATACAATAGCTATGGGGACCTGTACAAGTCACTTCTCCTTGTCAGCTCTCTAGGGCAGGTGCCAATCTTCACTGACAGAGTTCCTTAACGAGTTTCTTCAGTTCCCTCACTGATTAAATAACAGGTGTAGCCCTTCCCCTACCCCCAGCCCCAAAAAAGTATCCCCAAGGAAAAAGACTAATGGCTTTGAGCTTGAATCCTGAAGTCAAATAGAACCAATGGACAACGGTAATAAGAAAGATACATAAGCACAAAGCTATATGTCAAGAGACTTACTGGCATTATAAAGTCCAAGGGAAGGGAATAAGTATTTATATAGCGCCTACTATGTGCCAGGAACATATATGACTTCACAAATATTTGATCCTCACCACAACCCTGGGAGGTAGGTGCTGTTATCCCCATTTTACAGTTGAGGAAACTGAGGCAATCAGAGGTTAAGTGACTTGCCTAGGGTCACACAGCTAATGAGTGTCTGAGGCCAGATTGGAACTCAGATTTTCCTGACTCCAGGCTCAGCACTCTATCCACTGCACCACCTAGCTGCCTAAAAAGCTCAATGGGAAGAATACATTTAGAAATATTAAAACGTAGACAATACTTTACTTAATGTATGCTTCTGGAACAGTAAGACAGATGACAACAGATTTAGGAAGTACTCAAATAAAAATACATACTACAGGAATGAAATACAGGCTCTGGATTGATCAATGTTTTCAGAACACTAGATCAACAGATTAAAAACATACAGAAATACTTCTGGGAAAATGAACAGCAATCACTTCATGGACCCGATAGTAAAGGCTGATTAGATGTATATATGCCACTGGATTAAACACAACCAAATGCTTTGGGTGGAGCCTATGAAAGAGCCCTTTTTGTGGGTGAAACTGACATGAATTTAACCAACAAGAGTCACACACACTTGTGTACTGAGATGAAGGGTTTATGAGAGTACAAGACCAAATCATTCCCACCTGTTACAGAAAGGTTATCCTTGAGGAGATAAGATTTATTGATCAATGCAGATTATGTAAGGAAGCAGTAGAAACCATTATTTAACACCTACCAAATAACCTAGACAGACAACCAAGTGGCCAGAATAATACACCAGAAACTTTCATAAACAGAAGCAAAATTCTCACACTGAGAATATATATCCAACGATATTGAGAACTCATAAATAAAACTATTGTAATGGATTAAAGAATTGTTGCCCACAACTGCCTGAACATTAATAACAATTTAAGAACACTTTCAATGTGTACTTTTAAGAATGTACTTAACTTCTACTTAATCCAAACCACACAAGTTTACACCCCCTTTATTCCATCTACTACCAGAATTGTCCTAAAGATCCTTTCTCAGGCTACAGAAAAGGATCTACCATCTCAACATGGTGTAGCATGAGGGCTGCAGATGCAGGACCTGGGACCACTGAATCCCAAGGCAGCCAGGCCTAGAGCCACCTCTAGGGAAGTACAGGCTCAGACATCATTAGTCACTTTTGGACAAACGACCTGAATGTCTGCTCTGCTTCTTTTCACCCCATTCTCCTCTTCAGCAAATCTCTCTCTGCTCACATCATTCTATCTACTTCCATCACATTTCTCCCTTACCCCTGTCCTTTCATGAATCCTAGTAATTCACGTTCCCCCTTTGGTCATAGGAAATCATAGAAGTTTAGAACTGGAAAGGACCTTCTGGGGTCAACTCTTATTTTACAGATGAACACCCTGAAAGGCGAGGCCATTTAGCTCTACGCATTGATTCCTTTCCATTTTGCGCCCTCTAACTCTGCTTCTCTCACTACCCTCGGAACAAGAATGCCTTTACTGAGGAATTTATAAAACCTACAGAAAAACAGCTAAAGGTTCTTTGAGAACCTTGTCAAATAACTTCTATCTGATTAAGAAGCAGAGATAACAGGGAGCAAGTTCAAGAAATATGAGCAATCAGCGAGAGGCAGGGAAAGGAGGTAGTTGGTAGAAAGAACAACAGATTTCCTGGTTTGGGTTATTTTAGGCTTGGAGTCTTGGGTATATGTCACTTCCCTTTGAACCTCGGTTCCCTCATCTGCACAACTTGGGCGGGGGGGATAAGTTTCAACGGTTTGTCTTCTCTCTAGATCCTATGATCCCAAGGTCCCATTACATATATAGATTCTATGATCTAAGCGCTCTTCTAGAGATTATATAGAACCTGTAATCAATGAAGGGTAAGGATTTCATCTCTGTACATATATCTCTCCATTTGTTTCAGAGTATACTTGATAGACAGAATGACAAGTAATGGTGAGAACTCTGAAGTTCTCACTCCTCTCATCCTCAAACTATTGGCTCCCTCGTAATTTTCTCCCTGAACTTTGGGGAGGAATTATTTGGTTTTCACTAAGATGCAAGGTGAAGATGAATGATTCAACATTTAAAGTTTAGCCCTCAGAACAGAATTCAGTTAAATTAACAGTTTATACATAAATGAAAACCTTAGCAATATTTTTCTTCTTTAATTAGGTAACCTGGGCTGATTTCTACTGGGACATTTGCAGTACCACACTTTTGGTCCTTAAACATGACTTGTTGGACAAGCATCCTAAACTGGTAGCCTTAGGAATAAAAGTTCGAAGCATTCCTGTGATTGCTGACTGGATAAAACAGAGGCCAGAAACCAGAATGTAGACTAGTAATTGGTCTGGGGTTATTCTTTTTCCCCTGGCCTGAACCATATAAAGTCATTCTTGCTTATGCTATATTAAACTTTCTAGAAAGATAACTGTAAACATAACATTTTTCCCATTACATTTTTGTCACTGTTAGCGGAATTGTTTTTTTTACCTCAATGCCATATACTGTATAAAATAAAATCAAAGAGTAGTTTGCTTCCAGTACTTTCTGCATGGTGTAGTAGACAGAGCACTGGACATAAAACAGTCAAGGCCACCTAGGCTCAAAATCTTTATCTGACACTAGATATGCATCCTATGGCAAATAATTTCACCTGTGTGCCTTAGTTTTTCTCATCTGTAAAATAAAAGAACTGAACTCAATGATTTCTAAGGTCCCTTCCAGATCAAAAGTCATGATCCTAAATAGCTTTCCACAATTTAGAAGTGACGTTGTCACAGTACAATATTGTAAATCGATGGTCTCTCCTTCCACTCCTCCTTAAATCCATATGTACATCAAATAGGACTGGCTAGATCTATTTAGCGCCAACAAAACATGCAGGATGAGTGAAACTGCTATCATGTGGGGCCAACAACATTTTAAATGTTAAAAAGAAGTTCTCATAATTGAAAAAAGTTGAGAATCACTACTTTACATTACCAGTCTAAACAAACACCCAAACCAAAATAAGATCAAAATTCCCATAATGTAACTCACTGCTGTGAGCCTTTTACAAACCTATCTCAAAGATCTTGAGGGGCTTCAGTTGATTTCACAATCACTTCAGCACACATCGCAAGTTATTACTTCATATCTTTGTTTTCATTTGTACATGTACAATCCCTTGCAAAATATTAACATCCTATAGGTTTTAACACTTTCCATTTATAAATAAGAGTTTATTTATAATAATATTTACAGAATAGAAACAAAAACACATGAAGCTCACAAGTTACACAAAGAAATAGATATACAATAAAAACAGCAATTTGGACTGACAATAGGCAAAATGTTATAAAGACTTCCTAGAGAGATGGTATCCAAAAGCCAACTTTAGTTCTTCCAACTCTTTGCTGTGTCACCCACACTGAACTGGAGTTCTAACTCTTTAGGAGTTACCATCCTGGAAACTGGTGCATTAAATCTTGATAGTGTCATGGAGTTAATGATGTATTTATTCACCACAATGCCTCCACCCAGGATTTATACTGAATTCCTGTATAGTGCCTAATGCTGCCTCAATCTATATTCACATTTGATTTGCTGTGAAGCAAAAGTGAATTTGTTCTGCCAGCCTAGAAGAATTCCATCAACGCTCTGTTGATGCATGGAGATGTGGCAGGAATAAATAATGATCTGGACAGCAAAAGAAAATCAAAACAAGAGCATCAGGGCAGCAAGTGCCAAGAGAAGCAAACCAAAGGAGGCATGCACATGGCTAGCCAGAGGGATGTGCATGACTAGTGCAAGGCTAAGGAAAAGAACAAAAATTAAGTAATCCATAGTGACAATCCATCCACCTAGGAAAAAATCCAATTACTATTCATAGGAAACAAAACAGTCCCTAGGCAAACAAGGGGAGGTGGAGGGGGATGTTGGTAAGAGATCACCACCTTGAAATTCTGGTCAGAGTTCTCAATGACAATGGTGAGCATCTGCTTCAAACAGTAATAAAACTAAAGCTACATAATCTATACAGTTTTATTTGACTAAGTTAATACAAAAACAGTACTTCAAATGAGTTAAGACAGGCAAAACAAAACATAAGCATTGTCAAATAAGGCACATGTAAAAATCTACACACATTATCCAGTGAAAGACAGTATTATATATATGTTTGGAGGTAGAAATAATTACAAAAATACTGACATATCTAAAGCATTAGCAGATCTGTTACAAACAATCACCAACTAATCCCCATTTGGAAAACTGCTTTGTAAAATATGATTATCCAACATCTTAAAGACTACGTTTCTGTGGCAATTATATATTTCAGGTTTGAGCATTTGGAGAATTCATTTAGTGGCAAAAATCTTTCATACCATGAGAAATACAATATGGATATTATAAAAAGTTATAAATGTTCATAAATCCCATGGTCTTCAGTAATGTAAATGTCCTTGGGTGCACCAAGTTGGTATTTTCTCCTCAATTAGAAATCCTTCTTTTAAAGCCCTAATGAAGTCTTTAGTAATGTAGCTATATCTGCAGGTACATTTCCTTCATCGCCTGCAAAGGAAAAGAAATGTGAAAGTTCAGAGGTGAAACTTTTATCACTGTATGATGAAAAATAACCTAAGTAGGCAAAGGCCTCTCTATGGCACCATACTGGTCCTTAAAAAGTGGGGTCAGTCAGGTTACAGCTGCTTCTGACTGACTTAGACAAGGAAAGACAGAAGAAAAAGAATAAAAAATAAAATTTGCAAAACAAATGTTATAAGAGCTGAATGCTATGTTACTCTTATGTTTTTCTCTCTTTCCACTGAAACACACAGATGCCATGTGACCGTGAGCAAGTCATTTCACTTGTCTCAGCCTTACTTTCCTTATGTGCAAAATAGAGATAATAATGGCACCTATCTCACAACATTGTTGTGAGGATCAAATAAGGTATTTTTGAAAACCTCCAAGTGCTAAATAAGTGACATTATCTTCTATTACATATTATAAACTATACTGAGATACACAATAAGCAGAATCAAGTTACTAAAATGTTATAAAATTCTTATCACCAAACTACATTTCAAACTTCTTATACAATGCTCACTTAAGTATGAATGTTTCCAATTTATAACTCAAAAAACTCTAAGGTAGAAAATGGTACTTTATTGTCATTATTATTACCAGTTTATCTGTCTAAGGTGTTAGCTATGTGGAGCAAACAATTTTCACAAAGCATACTAGCAACTTACCTTCATCTGCCGTGGTCATATCTTGTTCTAGTTTCAATTTCTGTTGGTTGATTTTGAGCATGGATTCTTCTATTGTCCCTTGACTTATTAACTTTATGACTTGTACTTCTCTAAAATCAAAAGGGGTGGAAGGACAGTAGATTTTTATTATCTATATTTATAAGTTATTTGCACACAGCATGTGTTATTATAAAGTCATTTTAGAGCACTTATAACAGATGTATGTTAAAACTCCATGACCAGTTCAGGTACAGAATTCAGATATTCCTAGGAGACCTAGGTTCCAGTTCCATCTTGGCCAACAGCTCCCTCTGAGGCAGTCACATGCCACATCCTGTTCACTGGTCCTTAGTTTTCTATCTTTAAAATGAAGGGGAAGGCGAAAGCTGAAAAGGGAAAGTTCTAAATGATATCTAAAATCTCTTCTGAATCTTTGAAGTAACATGAACTCATGAAAAAATGAGCTCTGTTTATTTCTACAAACAATTCAATAAAATGTTTTCAAACAGTTGGTAATTCTATTTAGAATGAATGAAGAGTTCAAGGGTAAAATTAGATGAACTGATGCAGAGTACAACAAGCAGAATCAGAAGAACAAGTTACATGATGATGACAATAGCTTAAAGGGAAACAAGTGTGAAATCTTCAGGAATCATTTCTTGAAAGAGACAAGATACTAGAAGTGTAAGATGAGGAAAACGTTTTCAGATACAGCCAACAGACTTGTTTACTTGGCTATGCTTATTTGTTACAAGGAGTAGCTGGTGGGGGGAGGGCAGGAGGAGTAATAAGTTAGTGGGAAGTGACAGATGGGAAATCAGGAAGAAAAAACCACTAAAAACTTTAAAAAATACAAAGCTGGGGGAGGGCAGCTGGGTGGTGCAGTGGATAGAGCACCGGCCCTGGAGTCAGGAGGACCTGAGTTCAAATCCGGCCTCAGACACGGAACACTCACTAGCTGCATGACTCAGGGCAAGTCACTTAACCCCAACTGCCTTAAAAAAAATTAAAATAAAAAAAATACAAAGAAAATAAAAGGTTGAAAAGGGTACATAAACTAGGCATTTTTGTTACTATTATGTTAAATTTAATAAATCCTTTTAAAATAAAATGCATATATTTGAAGTTCATGGTTTCATACATGAGAGAAATGATTATTTCTCTCTTACCAGTTACTATTGGGGAGATCCAGGACTTTTCCCCTTCCTATTTCCTCAATTCTCTACTAGGTCAAATCAGCTAGTCCCTGAAGAACAGAGCTGATAGTGAGACTGGATTAACTTTCTCCTCAAATCTGTTCAGACACCACCCAACTGGCGAAGCCCATTGGGCTCTACTCAGGCTTGGGGGGGAGGTGGGGTATAAATCCTTTGTCTGGATTGCCAGGGGCAGAGGGCAGGTCTGGGAGTAAAAGTGACATCATCAAGTCACATGGGTCCACCTCTCATTATAATATTCATTCTTCTCGTTAACTGATAACCAGAGTTGACTGCTATCTTTCAGGAACACTCCTCTTTCAGAGCATATAAGCGTCAACAGGCCACCAAGATCCATCTTTGGTTCATGACAGATGGCCAAATGACCCATTCTTTTATTAATTATTCACTGGCCACAATTAATAAAATGATTAATTACCCTGAAATTGTTTCTCAAACTTTCTGTCACACATATAATCATTTTTTGGTTCTGTGTACTTTATAGCATGTTTGTGTTTGTTGACTAAATTTTACATAACAAAAAAGATCTAAAGTTCTCCATCTGGACATGGTTCATAAAAAGAAATATTCTGTCTTAAATATCTGTGGCCCAGGAATTTAATGGAAAATTCTGAGGCATGAGAAATCGTGAATATACTTAACCCCATTGCCTAGCAACAACAAAAACAAATAGAAATCATGAATATGATTTCTTGCTTGAATTGACCCTCAGGGAAATAAGGAGGAATAAAAGAATACACATAATGACTACAGAAAGGAAAATAACACTATACCAGATACCAGATAAATGCAAGGACTAGTCTGGACTGAGACAAAACATATTTCCCTTCTCTCAGTAGAGAGGTGGTGAGTTACAGGGGTTGAATAGGAACACCTTGGCAGACGTCGTGTGTCAAATGCTTTTGCTCAACTGTACTTTTGATGGATCTTTTGGGGAAAAAGAACAGTGTGTTGGAAAATGACAGCAAAGTTTAAAAAAAGATATTAAATAAAACATTTGAAA